TATTAATTTGAAGTTATTAAGGTTGATTTTTAAAAAGCGAACTAGTGGAAACTAATGAAAACGTAGCTTTAAATAAATATGTGAATAAAAGAAAAAAAGATAAATTTTATAGATTTTTATTTTATAATTTCGTATGATAGTTTTTATTAAGGATTCAATTGATTTTAAAGAATAAAATTATAGATTTAAATGAATATTATAGATAGAAGAAAAAGAGATAAGAAATGGTATATATTAATTTAAAATTCTAGTAATTTTAGTGAATAATTTAAAATAGTATGATTCTAGTGAATAAAACTGGTGCATATAATTTTACAATGATTCTATCGAATCGAAAAAAAATGAATTTATATAAATTCAAATAATAAATGTGAACAATTAGATAAATCCATTTTTTCAATTAAATAAAAATAAATAATATTTCATTATATTTACACTATAAAAATTGATCGATACTTCAACTACACGAAACATACAAAACAAATATCTGCTGAAACAAGATATGAAATCATAATTTAAATTCTCTCTTCAATTTTTTTTCCAATAATCAATTTATGCTATGAATAAGATAACTTATAAAAATTAAATCATTATAAAAATCAAAAAATAATAAAACAATAAAAAGGAATATTAAAAACAAAATATATAAAGTAAAATAGAAATTGAATCTTTTCATCAAATTTAACCATTACCATTACCAAAAAAATCTATCATTTTCCCATCGCTAACCAACGACTCCCTTAACAAGCACGCGATGTCCCGTGGGAGTGATTTAGCTTTTACATTAACGATGCATTAACGAGGAACCAGAACGATGCCAAAATTTCTCTCCACCCTCCGTCGATTCCCCTCTAAATCAATTATGATAATTGGCCGGCAATAAATCGCTTATTACTCGAACGAATCGATGGAACGGGAGAGGAAAGATTTCCGGTTGCCCCATTTTAAATCGAGCGGAAAAATCGCGGAGCACGGTTCGTAAAATGAAAATCAGCGAAACAGGAACGAGCTGTGTTTTATTAATCTCAGCCCCGCTGTTGCGGCAATTAGAGGGATTCGGCGATCAAACTGTTTTCAACCGCAAATTGTCTGGAAATAAATTGGCGAGGGTGGCGGGATTTGGGGAACAGTGGAAGCTATCGACAGAGTCTTTTCGGTGATTCTTTGTAATTTGATTTTAGTAGATTTATGTTAATTGAATTGTTAGAATTATATTCTTTGCACAAGATAATTGAATTCATGAGAAAATAAATGGTACAGATTATTTTATTGTAACATAGTTTATGTTTTATTGATAGAATTGTTTCATTGGGAAATATTTGAGAATATATATTAATAGTAATTATTAATTGTTTGCGAATATGAATTAAAAATAATTATCTTTTATTATTAAAAAATCATGATTAAGTTTTTGAAAAATTATATTAAAGAATTTTTTCATTATTAATTTACGTTCATTATTAATTTCAATTATTTACTATTACAAAACGACAATCGAAAATAATTTTTTTCCCAATTCTCTAATTTTATTTAACAAATTAATATCACTTCCAAAGAAATTTTATCCAACAACAAACCAACTCATTAAACAATTTATTATTTCAAGCACAACGTAAACATAACGTTTTCTTTAAAAAACTGTTTAAAATCCATCCCTCAATTATCCTTTGAACAATCGAATCTTTTTCTAACGAACCAAAAGAAAAAAAAAAAGAAAAAAGAAGGCTTCCCTACAACTAGAACACTTTTTCTCAACGCGAAACAAAAGCTACCCCCAAGCGTTTCTCGCTTTTTACTTTTTTTTCCTGTCTTAACCCTCCACCCTCTTAGGTAGAAATTAAATTTTACATCTCACTCGTGTCCGCTCCTTCTTGTCGACTTCTCGCTACCGTTACCAGGCGTTAAAGGGAGAAATCCTCTCTCCACCGTCCCTCGGTATATTCCTTTTCTTTTTATTCGGGAGAAAATTTTTCCGCAGGACCAGGCTTCTCCTCCGTTGGCGAGCCATTGAATTATGTATATGGAATAAATAAAAGCCGGATGAACAAAATTAGACGCAATACACGCGACTTAAGGGCAATTTGAATTTTCCCGCCCTTACGATACATGATCTTTATTTGAATTCGACGCGGCGATTCGAATGTGATAATTGGTACATATTTTTAAATGGAAAAATTGAAAATACATAAATCACGAAATCATTAAATCACTAATAATATTAAATGCTAAAATACTATTATTTATTATTAAATATGTACTAATAATATTGAATGATTTTTAAAAATATGGATATTTGAATCGAAGAAATAAGATACTGATTTTCTATTACATATTATTGAAATATTTAAAAATTTAGCAGAATATAAATTTTTTCAAGTAATTGTTTTAAAATTGCTATCAAGAGTTATTTAAATTAAAAGTGATTAAAAAAAAACATTGTGTTAAATTTTAGATGCTTCAAAACCTTTTAATAATTCAATCCTTAAACTCGACAAATTTGAGTTGAAAAATTTTTCATTACGAATTTTACTTACGAATATTTCCTTTAGAAACTTATTGTTTCTTTGAACTTTTCCAATGAATATTCTCTTTTACTTTTTAAAATATTTTGAAGAATTTATAATTCCGATAAAAACCAAATATCAATTCCTTTAAAATAAAAAAAATCACATTATAAATTTAAATTGTTATACAAAAAAATTAAACAAATATTTACCAGAAACTTGCTTCGCATTTTCGATTATATTATAGCCATATATAGCTATTTTTATCGCGAAGAGATTTAAGATTAAAGAGATTAATATAAATTTTAGAAAAATTTTAAGAAAAAAAGATCACGCGAGACATTTCAGAAAACTCGAGAAGGAGATTTTTGTTTAAAACGAGCTTCGGTATAATTCTCCAGGAAAATTTTCAACAGCCTCGCGTATCGAACTCACAGGCACGATGCTCCAGTTTCGAGAAATTCACGATATTGGTTCACCGTCTGTTCACCACGGGAGTTTTCAAATCGCGATATACCGTGTTTTCTGGCAATTTTCTGCTCGTTAACAGCAACCATTCTCGCCTCTCGCAATGTCGCGAGTTTTCGAACGATCTTTCCATTGCTATCTTTTTCATCAAATGTTGTACATTGATCTATCTAAAGAATTTTATGATACAGTTTTTCTTCTTAATGATTCGTACGTTTTCATGAGAATGAAGATTTCTATAAAATTTTATTGGATTATTTAATAAGTATGATCATTCTAGAAGCTTAATAATAAAATAATATCCATCTGAATTTTTAATTGATGATTTATTATATAAAATTAATTTATATAATTTATTTTCAAAGATTTTGTTTAAAGAAGTTTTATTTTTATTAACATCTTTTATTTTTACTGCATATTTTTTCTATAAATATAAAATATATTATAGAAAAAATTTTTTGCAATTTACAATTTACTTGTTTTTTTTTTTTTGTATCAAAATTGCACAGTTTACTGGTTTAATTCTTCAGATGAATTTTATTTTAAAAGTTCAATAAATAAACGATAAACAAAATTACTTACAGAATGATTTAATATTCATAAATCAATTTTAATAAATTTTAAACGCAATAAAGCAAACATGTATTATTCAAAAGAAATATAAAGATGCAACGAACGAGACGATATTTTCGAAGATGGTTGTTTTATGAGGTGATTCCAAGGGTTGTCGAGTATAGTAGTAACTGGCCATTTGAGAACGAAATATTCCATGCAAGAGGATCCAAGGAATCTAGATGTAAAGTGCACGCAGATCCTTTTAAATGGTCCCCATTTATCAATCCAATGACCAGTCATATTCTTCTTCTCTTTAAGCTTGAAGAAACCAGAGAGATATTGTTCACGATAAGTCTGAATTGTAACATAATTGATTGCTGGTGAAATACTTTCTATTGCAGAATGCAAAATATTATTTTTTTAAATGTTTCTTTCATTTTTCCATTATACACATGTTCATTAAAATTTTCATGATATTATTTTTATATGCTTCTAATATATATTTAAAGAAGAAAGAAATCGATTTTAGATTTTTATATTTTATCATAAGAGTTCAACAAAGTTTTCTTTTATCAACATATATATTAACATTTTAATAAAGCCCTTATTAAGCGCTATTATTTAGAACTCAATATTTCATTGAGTTCTTTAGAAAATATAATAAAAAAAAAGAGATAAATTTTAGTAGGAATTAGAAAGTAGCTTGGATATTATTTAGGGTTTCCACAGAGTGGGATTAGGTTTTAGTTGGGTGTATGACCTCAACTGGATTAGAGTAGGTTAGGTTTGGATCAGGTGTGGATTAGAACTCAACTAAGTTAGATCTCAGGTAAGATCTGGCAAGGATTAATCCAGATTTCAGTTGAAAGCCTGCATTCGATCCAAGTAACGTTAAGTTACTAACTTTATCACATCTTGATTTATATTCCAAATTTTTAATTCAACAAAATTAAACCTTCGATATTACAAATCTTTCAATTTCCAATAATATATCCAACATTTCTCTAAAATTCAACAAAATTATATACATCCTTTAGAAATATATCAAAGAATCAAAATGACAAAATAAAAATTTTCTTTTTACCTTCTCAAACGTTGCTCAATACGATCAAAGAACAAAATCCTCCTCTTCCACTTTCCTCTCTTCCATTTTATCTCATCAAACAAAGTCAAGTTTTCCACAAAATCCGCAAAAAACTCGCAAAAATACGGAATGATTTGCCAGAGGGTAGAGTAGTTTCACGTCATGAAACCTTTAAGCTTTAAAATTCAAAAGAGGATGAAAAAAAAAAAAAAAAGGGAGAGGGGCCGAAAGGCTTGAGCAAACGTTTTAAAAACACCTT